TATAGTATATTTTTATTCATATATTAGGTATAGTAAAAAGTTATTTGCTTTTTTGTATTAATCAGCATCATTTCAAATTAAAATATTTTTGCGCCTTTTTGTGATTTTAAAGTTAATATTAATAGTACAAAAAGCCATGGTAGGAGCAGCCATAATCTCAAAAATCAATACTGTTTTTCAATTGTTAATAATGACGATAACTAACAAGCATATTCGCGATATTCCAACCACCTAGCATTTCATCTTAAAAAAATACTGCTGAAGTTGTCAAAACGATTTGTACTACAAACAGTGATAATGCTGTCACACAACATGTAAAAATTGGTATAAAAAATTTCGCGCCAAAATTTTGATTTGAATTTTGAAAGACCAACCACGTGGATGAACTGTGAAGTTTGAATTGGATAAATTGTAGGCATTATTGAATGAAAAGCGCAAACTCAAAAAGAACTTGCGAAACAGCTGGGATTGAACTTTTTTTATATATTAATCAATTAAAGATTGAATTTTATAAAAAAAGTAAAGAACTTTCTACTACACTTAATGCGCGCGCGCACGCACAAAATCTTATCTTGTAAAGATTCGATGACTTCTTGAGAAAGACAGAATGACATGAATTTCTATTTCGATGATGGACCACGTACAGCTCCAAACAGTGTTTATTTTAATAAATTTTTATTACTTTTAATGCATACATCACACGTTATCACTGACTGACACAGATCAAATAATTTTCCTCACGTCCTCGCCGTGGGCCTCGCTAATGCCAAAAAATGCCAATGTCCAAATGAGCATAACTTTATAAAAAAAATTCGTAAAGACCTCAACGACCTCGCATTCTTCTCGTCTTGGAAAGCCCTTTCAACAAGCCCTCACTCAACCCCACATGCCATTTAAAATTTTCAATCCCCCTTCCTCTCTCGGAAGGTTAATGTGAGTGTTTTCAAGGTTTATAAATGACAGATTACATTTTGCCTTTGTAACCCTATAAATTTCAATTCAATATCTCAAACAATTCAGAAATTGTTTAGATGGCCCCGAACTTTTGGCGGACCCCGTATACAGAGTATCTGCTCCTCAATGGTAAAGCGCTCGCGGGCAAGTAGAGTGGGCCAAACTGAATAGAAAAGTCCTGTACCATTTTACAAAATTCACAATCGTTGAAGAGATATTAATTTTTTAAGATCGGCGGACGAATAAACGCATATTCGTCCGCCTAAAGCTGAATACGGTCGCGCGGCGAGATACGACCGCCCCACCGCTGATAGTTGCTAACCGGTAATTGACGAGCGATGGAGCGGTCGTATCTCGCCGCGAGCCTGCATTCAGCGGTAACTTCGCAAAAAATTATCGTAGGATGATGAATTTTTTTTGAATGAAAATTTGAAATCTTTACTTTAAGATACTGTAGAGAGATATCGTAAGAAATTCAATAAATTAAGAGAGTTTGTTCGATTTAGATATACGGTGTCCATTTTATTAAATTCGAAACGACTGCGCTGCTTGAACAATACTTTTTGACTGACTCGATCTTCGCGGAAGGCACGCGTTTATACCGAGAACTGATGGCTAAATTCGGCAAATCTTGGTGACAATGCGGCATTAGCTGATTGATCGGAATACAACAACAATGAGATACAATTGCTCCGAGCAACAGATTGAGCAAAGAGAAAGTCGTAACTGAAAACAATGCGAACGAGAAAAACAGCAAGAATGTCGAAAATATTATAACGAATAAATAGTGAGCATATTGAAGATATTATAACGTATGATCAGATGAATTATGCGAATATAGAATTATGTGAATAATGCTGTTCTGTTGGAACAGGTACTATGGGTCAATTTTAAATTTAATGCACTCCTGTTACTGTAAACTCTTAAATCTAAGAACATGTTTGCCATACTGAAAATTGCAAACTTTGATGAAATGCACGGACTTGCTAAAATTTTTCTCAGGGATGCGGTTTGCAGCGACATAAAGTTTTAATCTTTTTCTTTAATAAAAAAAAAACAAGTCGCTGCAATTTTTTTCACAAAGTTATAGCATTTTAAAGTAACCCTTGTATTTTTTTCGTATGGTCGGCATTACCCGATGTGTACTTTAGGGAGGTTGGCGATCGGATTTTGCACATTGTGTGCGTGCGGGCGTGTGTAAAACATATTATATATACATACACACACGGTGTGCAAAATTCGATCGCCAACATGAGAATGATAACCGATGCCATACATGAGAAAAATACAAGGGTTGCTTTAAAATGCTGCAACTTTGTATAACAAATCGTAGCAACTTGTTTTTTTTTTTTTCAAATTAAAGAGGAAGGTTTAAACTTTATGACGCTGAAAACCGCATCTCCGAGAAAAATTTTAGCAAGTCCGTGCATTCCGTCAAACTGCAATTTTTAGTATGGCAAACATGCTGTCAGATTTAAGAGTTTACAGTAGCAGAAGTACATTAAATTTAAAATCGACTTATAGTATCTTAAAGTAGAGATTTCAAGCTTTCATTTAAAAAAAAGTTCATCTTTCTACGATAATTTTTCGCGAAGTTACCGTTAACCAAGTATAATATATATATATATATATATTACATACTTTAAAATTTTTGTCTCCACTGTCGTCTCCTATTACGGAAAAATGCGCGTAGAACGTGTCCCGTCAACACTCGAGCGCACGGGCGAGTGCGGATAGAATGCGTACATAGGCGATCATAATTATTTCTCAAAAATGGTATGTCGAAAAATAACATCATTATATAATATATATGATCGAATTCGTATTAAAATAAACCTTTAATGAGGTTATAAATAAATTTAAAAATTTTTAAAAAGTGTAGTGGTGGTAAAAATATTTAAAAAATTAAATAAAAAATTTTGTTAAATTACTATTATAAAGTACACTTCAAACCATTCAATTTTTATTCAGAACATTAATTCTTTTATCTCTTACTAGCACTATATAGACGCGCGTTTCGCGCGCGCTATTTAACTGCACTTTTTACTATAACTTATAATTACACATCAATCTCAATGCACGCAATTGTCAAAATATGCAATGACAGCCACTTACGAAGTAACCACAAAGATTCAACCTATCAGCGTCGCGGAAAAGAGCCAACAATAAATTTCGAGACTTTCGAAATTTCGATAGATTCAACTATCGATTTAACATGCCTTTTTTAGAAATGGATAGTTTTAAGATAGTCGCTTCGAAAAAAAACTGATTTTTTTCAAAAGGTAATTTCATTCCTTTAAAACTGAATTCTACACCAACAAAAAATAATTTCCTACTACGGATGAACTGCTCTACTGTTACATAAAGTTTCAAAATTTTTTAAATTTCCGGGCTCCTTAACCTTCTTTGTTATATAATTATTTATCTTTATAATTTAATCAAATTGATAAATATTAATGCCCATTAATAAAAATTTTAATATCTTAGGAACCAAAGCATAAAGAGTTAATCGGAATATTTAACAACCAGCATCCGCCAGAAGCAAGAAATTTTTTTGTTATGAATACTGTCATTATAAGAGCTTTAGCAGAGGAAATTGCAAACTGGCCAAAAATGAAAAAGTATGATATACCTACATAAAATAATATTTATATACATACATATAATATTTATTGTTCTAGTCTGTCCAAGTTGACATTTAAATTGATATAATACAAGATTTTTATGATAAATGTTTATATGAAAAGACTAAACATGTTAAGCAGAAAATGACAAATATAAATACAAATTGCATTGTTTAAAGCAAATATTTAAATAATTTTATGCAATATAATTTTCGTTACTAGATACTCGGAAAAAATTGCTAAACTCACCGATCATATATATCAAATTGGAGTAGATGCAACCAAGCTCTCTGAGGATGAATTTAATGTTATTAATCACGGTGATTTTCATGTGAACAATATATTATTTAAATATGACAATGATGGCAAACCTATTGATCCCATTTTTGTAAGTACTATCACATTATAAAAAATTATATATTTCCTATAAACACGAATGCTTATTAATTTAATATAATTGCGGCTTCATATTGCAATTAACAAAAATTAAATTCAAATAAAATAATTTATAAAATCTCTAATTTACATTTATTTGTGATGCGATTTATATTGTTAAAACAGCAAATTAACTTCAAAATTATATCTTTTTAATTTGAAAAAAATGTAAGCTATCATAAATATTACTTAAACTTAACTTAACAATCACTTCATATATTCTATTTATCTGCAATGTCTACATTTCAGAATTTTCTTTTTTATAATTTCTATAATTGAATACAACAATATAATTTCACATAAAAATAAAAAGTAAATTACATTGTAAATGTAATAAGTAAATAACAAATATTTCCTTCCAAAAGACACTATTATGATACATGTTACATTTAATTATTAACAATATTGGTTTTAGCAGTCTGGACAAAGAGACAGCGATAATATAAAGATACGTAAAACACAATATAAATAATGCAATATTCATTTTATTGCATTATTCCAGTTAATCGCATTCAAGTGCGTCCACCGTGTGTTTACTCGTGCCATTCGCGCAAACTTTCAATTTTCTCATCTTAAACACGAATCTCGCTTCTTTCCCAGTGTCCCGATTTCCAATTTAATTTCTGGAGATCAAGAAATCGATTGATCGAAAAAGATTATTTGATATTACAGGTGGATTTTCAGGAATCCGTCTACACATCACCGACAGTCGATCTTCTATATTTTCTCAATACAAGTCCTTCCCCGGATGTTATTGAGAACAAGAAAAATATTCTATTAAATGAATATCTTGTCTCCTTGTCGACAACTATGAAGCAACTGAACTGCAAGACACAGCCGCTTACCATGGGGGAACTGGAGGCTAATCTAAAGCGAAGGGCTAGCTATGGAATGATAGTATCCTTCACAGTTTTACCGTTAATGCTGAACAGTAAGACTGAGGCGAGAGATTTAAATGAAATCGTAGGCACTGGTGGTTGGATTAATTCAGGCTTAAAGAGCGAGAATTATAAAAAATTAATGATAAAAAGAATTCCACTATATGATGAGTGGGGTTTACTGGATTTCTGATACAAAATTTAGTAATTTTTAATGATGAAATAAAAATAAAAGAAAATAGAAATTTGGGAAAAAAATAAAAAAATAATGGTTTATAAATCTAGAAATCTAGAAAATAAAAAAATAATGAACGTAAATCATAGAAAATATATTAAAATTAATAACAATATAAGTGGAATAATCTTGTATTTTTTTTTTAAAGAAAACATGACTTCTATGTTGAAATATACTGATAATAGTAGATCAGTTCGAAAAATAAAAAATGATTCCTTCATAAAATAAAATTTTAATTTTTGACATATTAAAATTTTAAAATAAATTTCCTTTATATTACATCAATGTATGTATAACAATATAAACATATAAATGCACTTTATCTTCTTATGTAGATATTGTTTAATTCAGTATGTGTTAACAAAAAATGATGTTATTAAAATAGATGCATATAATATCTTTATATAATATATAGTATCAATATACAATAAATGTATAAATTAATTAAGATGTAGAAGAATTTTAGGTTATATTTGATCATATAATATGCGCCTAAAAAAAATTGAAAAAGAAATTGTCATGTAATATCATAAAGAAAATTATTTATACAAATTAAACAAACGAAATTAATAATTAGCCAAAGCTATACATGTTAGTGCAGCTGACTCATGTATTCAATAATAATGTAAAACGAATAATATTACAATACAATAAATAAATAATAATGAATCAAATTTTTAAAAAAGATTATCAACTCTTTCCTATAAAATCGGAAAGAATCCCAAGAATATCCATTAATGATATTCATCAGTCACTATTATAAGAGGGGACAACTCCAGTAGCTCAAGTAGTTTGGATGATTAATCACTTCATCAGAAAGACTCAGAATTCAGAAAGAATCAGATGCAATTTTACATTTTTTTGATTTTTCTAAAGCAACTGTGACCTTTCATCTTTTTTACATCAATTGATTTATCTCATTATTCTCTAGATTATTTTGCCAAGATCAAGGCGGGTCACTTGGTTTACAAACGGTTCCTTAATCCATATTCATCCATCCATATCTCTTGATGTGACTATACAGTTTTTGCAACAAATTTTTCTAAAAGTGATCTAACTCCATATCTTTATACATCTATATCTTTTTAACTTTACAACTGTATAACTATAGCCTTACTTTTACAATAGTTTTACTTATGTTTATATATCTTAATTAACCTATATCACCTTAATTGTTTATCACATTTATTTTGACGCATACCTGTCACATTCCATACCACATTCTATACTTTCAGTACGCTCCATTTATTCTTTTTTATACTTTACCTTACGCATACATACTTTCCCTATGTTTTTACTTATATCTAATTCCTATACATAATTACCTAAACCTTCTACCTCCCTCCTTTTCTCTTTTTTCTTTTTCTGTCTTTTTAAATCCTTGTCTCTTTCTTTCCACAGTCTCCTTAATATCTCGTTTTTCCTCTCGTTCAATTTCTCACTCCATATAATCTGCTCCAAATTTCCTCTTTGTCTCTAATTTTGCGAATTGCTTGTCCGCCGGCATTCTTCTAGATAGTGTTCCATACTGTCCGTTCCCATCCCACAAAATATATACTTCCTCTCGCTATCCTCCCCTGGTGAAAATAAAACGTAAAGCAAGCGTTAATAAAGCGTTTAATTGGAGAGTAGTAAAGGAAGTGTAAAAGGAGAGTAACGGAAGTGTAAACGAAACCCATAGGAGGCGAAAATTAGAACACGGAGTGTAAAAGAAGCGACAACTGAACGTTAAAAAAACGTTAAGGCGATGCTGGAAAGTATAATATGATAAGAAATTACCGACACATTGCAGTTTAGTAAATTTTTCCGAATTGGCTGAACGGAATTGAAAATCCTTTCAGAGGATTAAGAGAATGCTGAAAGGTCAATCAAATTTGTACAAGGTTGATAAAACAGACTCTTCAGTGTCAGTGGTATCTCTAAATGTACTTCTTACAATATCTTCTGGTCTCACTCAAACACGTGGAATGTCCTTATCTAACTAATTGAAGTGCCATCTTTTGGAAAATCCGGCACTTACTGCCAGACGCAATTTTTGCTGTTTTTACTTTAGTCGAGCGTACAAATTACCATAAATTGCATTCTAATGAACAACTTTTTTTTCTATGCTTCCAATCGTAGCTCAAAACGTCTTGTATTATTCGTGCAAGTAATCTGATGCGCGCTAGGTACTTTTTTTGTATGTATGTACATATGAGTTGCAGAACTTTTGTACCAATAAAATGTTTACGTCAGGTGACAGCTGGTTATGATATCCCAAAAAAGGTAATTTTTGAATATTTTTTCGTTTTTACTACTCATATATATCTAGCGCGATGACATTTTATGTCTATTTCAATCCTGTAAAAGCGTTTTTAAATCCGTTCAGTCGTTTCGGATTTATCCATTAGAATGCAAATGTCGGTAATTCCCGACCTTTCAGCATCCTCTTAATGCTCCTACTTGTGATTCATGATACATCTTACCTTGCGTAGAGGTCTTCCTAATTTTTTCAGTGTCTGTTATTTTTAATATATTGTAAACTCATCTATTTAGTAAGACAAAGATATTCAGTTTTATATTAATAGATATTTAGTTTAATATGTACGTTTTATCTATTAGATATGGAAAATAATAATCGTGACCGTGTATATAAAATACACTGTTCAAAAAAATTATGGCATAGAAAAATTTTGAGCAAAAATTGATCAACTTTGGTTAATGGTAACTCCGCGAAAAATCATCGTAAAATAATGACCTTTTTTCAAATAAAAGCTTGAAATCTCTACTTTAAGATACTGTGAGTCGATTTTAAATTTAATGCACCCCTGTTGCTGTAAACTCTTAAAATCTGAGAGCATGTTTGCCACACTGAAAATTGCAAAGTTTGAACGAGTGCACGGACTTGCTAAAATTTTTCCTGGGGATGCGGTTTCCAGCGTCATAAAGTTGGAATCTTTCTCTTTAATTTGAAAAAAAAAACAGTACGCTACGATTTTTTTTCACACAGTTACAGCATTTTTGAAGTAACCCTTGTATTTTTT